ACCTAATGAGAAGGAAGGACTCCCTGGAGAAGAGCCTAATGCTGGGAACAATTGACGGCAAAAGAAGAAGGGGACGGCAGAGGATGAGGTGGCTGGATGGAGTCACTGAAGCAGTTGGTGTGAGCTTGGGTGGACTCCGGGGATGGTGGAGGACAGGAGAGCCTGGAGGAATGTTGTCCAGGGGGTCACAGTGGGTCGGGCGCCACTTCGCAACTAGCAAGCAATGATTTGCAGCATGAGTGAAAAGCAAGGACCTACTAAATACTTAATCTAATTGAAACAAAAGTGAATAGAAACCCGCTGTTATGCAGAATTACTCAGAAATCAGGCCTGAGTAATATATATATAATTCTCATTCTCTCTGTGTATAGTATTTATTATTACTACATATAGTAATAATAAATATATTCAGCAGAGCGGATGTACATCCTCAGTTGATAACTTTATGTACTGAAGTGAAAGTACCACTGAATGCAGTGACTGGGTCATGGTACCCTAGCCTAAAACAGATGCTGTTTCATTTTTCGGTGTGGGAACAAGGCATATTGGAACACTAGCATGGCTAGTAGGAAGGTTTTAAGACTGGCAGCAGAAGCTCTGCACCTATTCTAGAGTAAAACTGAAAAGACACAAGTGCTATACCCATTTAAAATAATGCCTGCTTTATCCCTCAGTTTTTGAGCCTTTTTGAAAGACCTAATGCAGGCAGATGTGTAAAATGTACTGAAGCACTTCACACCAGGAAGCATAAACATGCAGTCTGAAGTGGTACAGTCCACTCTGAAGTGTTATCCGGACAGGGTTATCTCCTCTGCTCTTATGTAGTCCTGGCCCAAATTAAGCTAAACACAAAAGAAAACTTCTGGGCAAAACCATTTTAGAATTTAGGTTGGAGATAACATTTTGGATGCTTTCCTACGGAGAAATTCCTTGCAGAGAGAAAACTAGGAAAGTTTTACATAAGGCAGCACTCAAACAGGTGACATCTCCACAGCTGTCCAAAGTGGTATAAATCCAAATTTGATCCACCCTTCTCAAGATTGTATTGCTTTTAACTCGCTCAAGATTTTATCACTACTATCACATTGCACTTATATCCCAGCTTTTTTCCTCTTGTGAGGAACACAAGGCAAGTTCCATAGTTGTCCTCAACTCCATTTTTTCCCTAACAACAACCCTGTGAAGTAGGTTGAGCTGAGAATATGTGGCTGGTCCAAAGGCAGAATGGAGACTAGAAGCTGGATCTCCCAGGTCCCCAGTCCAGCCCTCTTAACCACCACACCACACTGATGTTTAGAAAGCTTCGTCTTCCCTGGCTATTAGGAATTTTTATATCAGATTAATATTTTTAAACTTTAAAATTACACTGTTTATGTATCTCAAATCAAAGGAGGTCACAACAGTTTAAACAATGAATACACATTATATCGACTTATTACTGTGCAGTAACTTTTCTGTTTGCAGCACTAACCTGTACTTGCCTTATTAGCTATAGGTATAAGTAAAATCAAAGGTCCACACTAATACATAATATGGTTTTCACAGATTCTCTTCTGCAATCTGATGAATGGACTGAACTGCACAAAAGCTTAGGCTAGAATAAGCGTTAGTCTTTAATGTGCAGAGGATGCTTTGTTGGCTTTGCTGTTTTAAACACAGCTGAAAAATCCTCAGGAAATGTGACTTCTAGGAGTCTTTAGGCCAGCCACCCCCACAGCAGCCTTTAACACAGCTCAGTGCTACAGTCCGAAAATCAGCACACCCTCAGCCATGTATGTATTAGGGGAAGCTCATTCATGGGGATTCGCTTTGCTCAATACTAAAGTTAAATCATGTCCTGACATCTAAATGACCACAGAACTAGATAATCAGATATTTAATCAATATATGCATCTGTTTGTTGAACAAGAACATAATATAGTTGCTAATTTTTAGATGAAGATCTTGTTCAAGGCAATTTTATCTGAAATGTATTTTCTCTGTATTGCTATGTTCTCCAGCGAAACAGGTTTCCCAGATGCGCCGAATACCTATCTTTTAACCAATAGTAGGTCAGATCCTACGAGTATGCTTAGGCTGCAGTACTTTGCACCTGGGAGCAAACCTCGAACTCTATTAGGACTTCTGAAAAGACATGAACAGGACGCTAAGTTCATTACATACTTGACTCCCACTTAAATCAATAGGGTAATGTGATCGTGACAATCATAAGAACCATTGATTTCAGTGGAACTAAAGCACAACTAACCAAAGCTGGATTGAATCTTACACCTGTACTGCTGTTCTATCCCATTGTCTCCAACGCTCTCTATCTATCCAGGTGTTCATTCCCCCCGTTATCTTAAGCTAGTTTTAGCTTATTAAGAAACCACTGTGCTCTCAGAGGCATTTTGGTTGTAGAACTGCAGCTGACTGCCTTCCGAATGAATAAAATTTACCAAATCTTGATTAACTTTTGCTTAAAGATGCAAAAATTGACTGCAATGAGCAAACACAGAACACTAATGCAAGTTTGTTTTTACACAGCCTCCACTTTATATTTTAGTTATCCACTATTATATCATTTATCTGCATTTCCCTCATGATCTTCCAAAACCATGATCAAAACAGGAAGCATTAAAGTACATTTGAAATGCTTGTATTGGCACCTCAACAACACACAATGAACTGATGCTCCATTTGCCATGAAAACAGCAAATGAAGAAATACTGGTAATAATTCCATGGAATTCGGTATGACAATTAATTTACTGTATTTATATTAAGGTCTATAAAACTATGTTTCCCAGCAGTATAAAATGTACACCTATATAAAAAAACCAACCTCTTGTTATCACACTCAAAACAGTGGGCAAGAAGCACCACAATGCCAATGCAGGAATAGAACAAAACTTTTTCTCCTCTTTTAATAATAAAAGTTGTGCAAAGGTGCTCTATAAATAGTTAAAAGGAATTCTACTTTACTTCTGTACAATAGAACTACCTGGAACTATATTTTTAAAATTCTATACAAAATTTGAAGTAGGAGCTAAGAATATTACCACTGACTGCTGAAAACACCATTTATTGTGTTGTGTAATGCTGCCGTTCCAAATACATTTGAAATTAATCTTTGGAGTGAAATCCACTAGAAGAATTGTCATCATTTCATTTTGCAAGGAATGCACCAAGTTAATCAAGAATTTTCACTTTTAATTTTTAAAAAATTTTTTCTCAACACAAAAGGGTTTTTTTTTTTTTTTTGGCATTTATTTAAGGATCATCGCTAACCTAGCAGCATCCCTACTTGGAATGAAACCATCTTGACAAAGTAACAAATAGCTCTTTGCACTGACCAAATTATTATGTTGCTTCTTCAGCCTAAATTTCTTCCCAAATCCATCCTGGATTAGGAATTAGGAACATGTCCTCATCAGATGCAAAAGATTATCCCAATGAATCAACATAAGAACTGCTAGAAAATGATTTGAACATTTCACAGGGCACACAATTAGTAATCCTCAGAGAAGAATTAATATTGACTTTATTCTTTCTCCTGTAGCAAAAGAGGAGAAGTGAAGGTTCACAGCCCAATGTGTAAGTGAAATAAGCAGAGTAGTGCTGTACGTGTTTTGGGGGCCCATGAGCAGCATCCAGGTGCCTGGAAACTTGAACATTGCTAGTTTTTTTTTTTTTATTGTCACATCCGTTGGCATGGCCACCACGGCACCGACCTGCTTTGCACCCACAGAACTGGATTTTCCATGCAGGGTAAAGGCAGGATCCAATCTGTGTCCTGAGCGGATGGGTGCATTTTCTCCTAAATCCATGCAACTGACACACATCCACAGCAAAGCAATACAGTCCATATTATTGGCCTGAAGAGATGGTGGGGGGAGCGTCACGTCCTCCATTTGTATGCTGAGTAGCAGCTGGCTGCTTGTGGTTGGGGAGGATAAGGAAAGAGTATACAGTCCACCCTACAAAAAACTACTTTCACAGGTACCACCTGACATCTGGGGTTGGGAAGAGGGCAGAAGAGGACTGGCTGGCCTTCTGTAAGTTTTCATCAGATGCAGATCTTGGGTCTGCAGGTGCCTTGCTTGCCATTCCACCTGGCCAATGACACCCCAAAAGAGCTGAGGCCCAGACTGCAGCACACGGAGGCCTATCTCCCAACACGCCGAGGGGCCTTCCTTGTGGGACACCCGCGTGCTGCCCAGTCTGCCCTGCTGGGGCAAGAAGCATGTCCTTCGTGATTGTATTCTGCTTCTCCTTTCTCCTCCTCCCGATGCATCTGCCCCAGGAAAGGGCAGGATTCCTTGGCTTTGAGATCCCCAGGGCAGCAACTGCAGCATCTCAGACCAAAGGAGAGGGTGGGCCCAGTGGGACGGGCTCCCCACCCCTCCGGGGAGGGCCCGAGGGAGGAGAGGGCAGCTTCCCGGGCCTCTTGGCGTGGTCCCCACGAGGGCGAGGCAGGCGGGGGTCGGGGGGGGGGCCTGGCCCGCCCTCGCGTCACGGGGACACCCCGGGCCCCAGGTAGGGCTCGCTTCCGCACCAGAAATCCGCCGCCTGCGGGGTCTCGAGCAGCCACACCTCCTTGGGCAGGCTCTGCGGGGGGTGGTCGGCCGCGGCGGCAGGCAGCGGGGGAAGGGTCTGCCCGTCCAGGAGGCGGTAGTAGTGGCAGTCCCGCCCGTGCTCGGGGTCGTACGGCGGCGCGAGGATGTCGAGGAAGGCGGCGGGCCCGCCCACGGCGTCGATCTGGTGCAGGTTGTCGGTGTGCGGCGACAGAAGGCAAGGCGGCGAGGCGGGCGTGTAGAGCTGGTGCGAGCGCAGCAAGCCGCGGTGGCGCCGCGGGGAGGGCGAGCCGGAGCCGGAGCCGGGCCGCGGGGCCGCCGCCGCCGCCGCGGGGCCGCTGCCCGAGGCGCCGTCGCCGTCCGCCGGGTCGGGCAGGGCGTCAAAGCAGGCGATGCGCAGCGTGCCGAAGAGCACCTTGAGCAGCCCGTTCATGCCCGGGTGGTCGTGCAGGGGGATGCAGGCGCCGGCGCGCAGCACGAAGACGCCCATGCTGAAGCTCTCCGTCTCGCAGATGTGCATGTAGCTCACGGGCGGCTGCACCGGCCCCGGCACCGCCGACGGACCCCGCGCGGCCAAGCGCAGGTCCTCGGCCCGCACCTCGTTCAGCAGCTGCTGCAGCCGCTGCAGGTTCTCCGCGAAGCGCGGGCCGCCGCCTCCGCCGCCGGCATGCTTCCCGCCCGGGGCGCGGAACGTTACGCGCGCCTGCCGGGCCACCCGCTGGATCAGAGAGGCCATGTTGTCGCGGGGCATCGTGCCGCCGCCGCCGCCGGGCTGCCTCCCGCAGACGACGCGAGGCTCTCTGCGCACGCGCCGCCCCGTCGCCTCGCCTTCTCCTTTCCGCCGCACCCCCTCGCTCCTGACGTCTCTGTGCATTGTGGGGGTGGTAGTTCTCTTCCGCCACCGGCGGCAGCAGGAGTCGCTCGTACCTGCAGGCAGTGGGACATCCGCAAGGGGACCTTTTCCAAACAACTCCATAAGAGAGAAAAGTGCCGGAGAGTTTTCCCCCTGCAAAAGCTGCACTCGCCCTCCTCCACCTTCATCTTTCTGGAAACTACAGTTCCCAGAGTACTCCCTGCCCAAGCACGTTCGCTTTCTGTAGTGATTGACCTCTTGGTCGTTTCACGCTCAAGAGCAAGCAATTGCCTTGCTCGGGATGGCTGGCTTGGCGTGGGCGGGTTTTCTCCTAAACAAACACGATTTCCCACTCTTCCCAAGGAAAAACATTCCCTTTATAGGAAATGTCCACCCTACTCTTTCAAGAGGGTGGGAGGGTTTCTGGTCGACCGTTCCAGAACGCCAATGTGTTTCGTTTGCTTCTTAAGCAACGGACACTAGTTTAAGTGGGAAGGCACGTGTGGATTTCAACCCACGGGCACGGGGCAATCCGGGGCGGTTTTGACAGAATGCAGCCCTACAACTACCAGCATTCCCCAGTCGGTGCAAGAACCTTGGTGGTGTTACTCTGCAAGCTTGCAGCTGAATGCTGAGAGCTGTAGATTTTTCTTCTTCTGTAGAAATCTACACAGGATTGCAACCTTAATAATACTTGTATAATAAAAGGGTGCAAAACTCCTAAACTTGGAAGCATATGAGTATCCTATGCAAAGTGAGGGAGTTTCAAAGGCAATTCGGCCCTGCTCCTCCTGCTCTTTCAGCTTCCCAGAATTCCCACCCTGAAGGGCCATTAACAGGGAATTCTGGGTCTTGCAGTGCAAAACGTGTCTGGAAGCCGCAAGGTTCTGGAAGGCTGATAGACAGCCGAGCTCAGCCATGTTGCAGGGATGCTTCAGAGCAGAAGGGAAGAAGGCTGCAGAAGGTGCAGGATACCTGATATCCTTACCTTTACCATCTCCTTCCCTCTCCACCCCTGGAACACCCCTTTTACTTGCTTTCCGAGGTCTAGTTCCCAACCTCGGAAAGGCAGCCTGTGGGATTTTTTTCTATACCATTTGAGGGGGATTGGAGAGTGTTGTTTCTGGTTTTAGATCTGGAAATCTGAAGGTGATGCTTTCTCTCCTCTAGAAGGAGGGCCAGAATAGCTTCTGCCATTGGTTAGACTGAAAGGTCATACTGTACCAATGCCCACTGAGAAAATTACAGGTATGCTTCCAGATCAGCCTTGTGGCTTCCAGACATGTTTGCACTGCAAGACCCAGAATTCCCAGTCAATGACCCTTCTGGATGGGAATTCTGGGAGTTGTGATCCAAATGCCTCTGAAGGCTGCTCTGGATAGATCTCTTCTGTTTCAGCTAAAACTTGGGAAGCGTTGCTGAACTTTCATAATTCAAGTATTTGGCTTGCACACTTGAACTATTCCACTTTGCAGCAAAGCCCCAGTCCAGTGGCATTATTCTCTCCAATTAAATGTATACGAACAAGTCACTTTTACAGTGAGGATGCCACATGCTTGGTTTCTGTTTTCACCAATATCAGCAGAATCATCTTTGATGTTTAACTGAAAGGGCACAATCTGAATTCAGTTAGGGAATGACCTCCCATGAGAGGCTCTCAGGTGCCTAGTTTTCAGTTTTTTCGGCATCAGAAGACCTTTTTATTTTCCCAGGATTTATAACCTTTCAAATTAAAAAAAACTGCATCAGTGTGTTTGTACCACTGCTCTCTTGGTTCTTACTGTGATTCTGTTTTAATTGTATTTATATTATGTTTTACTATGTCATTGTTATTTTCTGGTTTTACATTTCCTTTTGTGAACTGACCACAGTGCTAAAGGGTGGTATATAAATGTAATAATAAAAGAATACACTTATTTGAAAACTGATAACCACCGCACTTGGTGCTGAATAGAGATATGCAGCCTCAGGGTCAGGAACCAAATCCCACTCTCCATGGGTCTCAATCTGGGCCTTGGGAGTACCTCAGTAGACCACACCATCTTCTGGCCTTCATCACTTCCCCCCATCCCATTACTGGTTTTTTCATGGGTTTCTGGCTTTGGTGTAGTTTTCCCCAATTCCAAGAAAGTTAAAATGCTTTTTCCTAAGGCTTAGTCACCAGCAGAACGTTCAGTGAAAATATTTTTCATTACTTATTAGATTTATATCCTGCCATTTTTCCTTTCAAGGAACTCAAGGCAACTTACATAATTCTCCTCTTCCTCTCCATCTCATCCTCACAACAACAACAAGGGGGTTGGGCTGAGATTCTAGGGGTGGCCCAAAGTCACCCAGTCAAGTCTGTGGCTGAGTGGGGACTAGATCTTAGCTCTCCTGAGTCCCAGTCTTGCGTTCGTAACCCCTACGCCACATTGGCTCTCACTGGCATTTTGGCTCCACCCGCTTTGCTTTGGCCCTACCCAGCACTGGAGGGCATCTGCAAAAGGAATCCAGCCCTTGGGCTGAGAGATGACCTGCACCCCTGACAGAGAGGACTTCCACCCTGGTGAGTGAGAGAACCAAATCTACGTCTAAAGCAACTAAAATGCCTATAGGAAAGCCATCATTCCTAACCCCAATTTGCAGAATGGAGGAATTGCCCTTTATTGTGGTAGATTCACTGACCAACAGCCTCTGAAGCTGGTAAGTCATTATGTCGGTCATCTCATCCGGTCCAACCTATGCAGGAAATTCCTTGTGCTGCTCGTAGGCTTCACTTGCTGCCACAACGCAAGATGCTGCCTGCATTCCGTGTCAATCCCAGGTTTAGTTTTCAGTGGAGAAACAGAACACATTCCTACTGTACATGGCAGATGGTTCATGACCACTTGTCCTTTTAATATTTCTTTTACTTTTTTTGGTAAAAGTGACGCCATGGCAGCATTGCCCCCCAGCAAGAAATGGCACACCGTAACATACCCAGTAAGTAGAAGCACATTTTAATAATGGAAACAGAATTCTACTCCTTTGGCCCTCATTTCGGGGTTCCATGTATCATGGAATTAAATGCACTCTTGGAAAGCAGTCAAACAACTAACACATGATGCATTTCCACAATGAGACACTATCTAATGTACTGTTCGACTGTAGGAAGCTTTTCTCATCTCCCTCTTCTACCACCTGCTCCCTGTCTGGGACCTCCTACTCTCTGAGTAACCGAGTAGTCATTTATGGTGCTAAAAGCATGCAACGAGAGAGAGGATTGTTCCAGGCACAAACAACCCTGTACACGTACTAGGTAATGTTTACATACAACACAAATGGCATCAATATTCCAAGCAGGTAATTCTCAGAATCTGCAGAAATAATTTTCGCCTGGCTCTGCTAACGCTACTCCCTTATGTGGCGTCAGTATCACATCACTCCATGTTACTTCAGTGACTAAGAGACTCGCAGCACAGGTAATGCAAAGTCCGTGCCTAAGAACGCTGGTGATGGCTTCTACACTGATACTGCAAAATTCTGGAGGAAAAACGTGAAATAGAGTAGATATAAGAGTGACGCTGTTGGAGTAGATGGCTCACCTGTGTTGTCCTCCTGTGAAGATTCTCTTCCATGCTCTCTGCTCATCCTGGGATTCCTGCTTCCTCAGCGCTAGAGAAGACATAACTGGGAAACAAAGGTGGTGTCCATGTGAGTGGCATTGCCAAACGGCAGGATACCCTTTACAATTCATAACTCTAGGTGGGTTTCAAAATCAAGAACGTTCAGGAAAGGCTTTGAGATATGTGAATTGTCAGATTTGGGACAGGAGGGGCAGGGAAGAGCAAGCAGGGGCTGTACCTTTTGGAGTGCTTACAAGGTTGCTCAGTGAGGTGTCTCACACTGAGTGTGGGAGTCAGTCTTTTTTGGAAGGGACAGAAGGGTTTTCAGGAGAGGGAAGCAGTTGGAGGACCCAGTCCTGGATCCTGGAAGGAGGCTTCGGAAGAGATGCACTGCTCAACTGGAGGGGCGCTGTCACTCTCCTGACCTAGCTTTTCAGGGGCAAGAGCCCCCGAGGGTGGGGCCAACAGCCCTACTGAAAGGGAGGGACTGCAGGGAAATTTCCAGTTTGGATTCAACTTTTTACAGGAGCAGAGGATTCTTCTAGCATGGGTAATTGGCTATTTAGACGTCAACGATTCTGTCAACTGTAGAGTTACGACAGAAGGACTGCATTTCAAAGGACTGTCTTGAGTCATCGGAACCTGCAAGAAGGGGGGGCACGGACCAGCTTGTGACAGTGACCCTTGTGCGTGGAAGCACATCTCATCACCAGCTTCAGTGCTGCTTGACGTGGGCGCAACCGCCTTTGCGTTATCCACCGTTTCATCCATACATTCTTCCAGGGCGGCCACAGAGAATCCTAACTGGGAGTAGGAGGGATAACATCTAGCTGTGAGATCATGCTCCCGCGTAACGCTGCTCAGCAGCGTCTTGCTGGTCTCCACTTTGGCCAGCTTGGCCTCCCCACCTTCACCCACAGCTGCTCCCCCGTGCCACTCAAAGGTTGACAGCAGACCTCTTGGATGGCCTTGAACCTAGTCCAGCATTGTGTGGCCTTCCTAGACTATTTAGAACTGGAAAGGCTTCTAGTGACCCTATGGAGATATAGATTGCCACCCGAGAGCAACCTCAAACCACACTTTCTATCAAGCTAAACTGCAGGCCACACGCCAAGCTACACGTACAGCCCAATGCACCAGCCTCCCATTTGGCAAGGAAATAACACTGAAGAGGAAAGGCTACATATTTAAGTCTTGAGTGTGGACATGCCTACATTCTTGTGCTAATGTGAATGAAAGACTCTGGAATGGGCAAGTGAGGGTACCACTCACCTCTTGTCCACCCCTGTCCTGCACATCTGTTGGGGATCT